TTTCTCCTCTATGCCCTGCCTTTCTGAAACGCGTCGATTTTTACAAAGCTCATCGGTCTGAAAAAGCGAGGTGTGCTGTGATTGGCCAGCTATCCAGTGCGTTGTGATTGGCCGAATACCTCAAGCGTGTGACGGAAATGTTACGCCCCTCACCATACTGTGATGAGTTTCACAGTTTGCCCTGTCCGGCCGGAGCAACGAGACAAAAACATGAAAACCCATTATAAACGAGGCATTTGTTGCATCCAGTGGGGACATAATTATGGATTAGAATGACTTATACTGTCTTTTTAAACGTTGCGTTGCATCACGCCGCGTAAACATAAAACAATGTCTGCATTTGTGATCAGAGAAATTACAAACAACAAGCGCTACTCTACACTGCTCAAAACTCGCGTTTGAATCATCAGTGGCATAGAACGAGCCGTTTTAGGTAGGTGTGGCTGACTCTTAACTTTTATAAAGAATATCTCTTTGGATTTGAGACTTTAGTCTTTGCAACTTTACAGATCTTCTTTATGCACCAAGTGCTTGTAACACTCCAAAGAGAAAGGAAAAATTGAAATCGCATCATATGACCCCTTTAAGTTTACAAAATAATGAAACTCACAATGATGTAAGTCTGTGTATGAACAGTAGAGGGCAGTACAGGATCTTAATGTGGAAATTTTATTATCATATTCCTTGTGTTTTTCAACTAATTTTGACATTTGTCTAGTGAAGATATAAAACTGTGAATGAAGAATCTGAAGTCAATACACAGAAAAATGACCCAGCATCATCAAGTGTTTCATTTGAATGTTTATTTATAAAACAAGAAAGAGGGCATCATTTCATTAATAGTCATTACAATTATTACAGCATATCTTTTTTCATATAACTTGAAAATTTGTTGTATTGATATTCAGAGTTCACCAAGTCTTCCTCTGGTTGGTCATAACAAACCACTCTCCACACAGTTTCTCATATGGAAACAATTATAAAATTGGACTTTGGTCAAAAGTTGGGCCTTTTTGTTTTGAATATTGCATTGCCAGCTTGGGTGTATCTTGATAATAATAAACATTTTTAAATAATTACGTTCTCGCATTGATAAGTGCTACACTTTATTTATTTATGAGTGCATTTAACGGCAGACTACACTGATTTAACAGCACCTGCATGCATCTCATTCATAAAACCTTTTTATACTAGAGTAACTGCACAAGGAACGTGTTTCAAAAGAAATGAAAAACGCAACAAAAGAATATGGGAAATTTGGCATAACACAAATAAATGCTCTATTAAGGCATACTTCATTTCTAAAACAAACAATCTATGAAATAAGTGCATTTCTTTTAAAATACTGCTCATGCAAACATGATGCAGGCAATATTAAACTGTGAATTCATATATAAGAAAGGTAAACAATAGCTGCGTTTATATGATATGGGACTTCTATTAGCCCACCTAAGTTTATCTTAAATTCTCACCAAAATGATCCAGGACTAAAATTCATGCCGTTCAGCCAGTGCTGTACTAAAGAAAAAAATAACATTAAACAAGCTACACCCAACTAACACAACCTCGAACCCTCCGAGGTGTAATGAGCAGGTAAACTGGTCCTAACTAAGCAAACTGGCACCTATCACCACTTTCACAA